AGGCACAAAGGGTTTGCACCAGGTCTGGGGACACAGAGGACACCGTCTTAAAGGGGCCGTGTCCCCAACAAGTCTGGGGACACGGCCTTAAAGGGGCAGTGTCCCCCAATCTTCCTGATGTCCCAAAAAGGTGTTTAAAGGGCCAGCACCAGTCACATAAAGAGTCCATAAGCCCCAATATGCCCACCGACAGTCTTAAAGAGCCATACACACCAAATAAAAGTGCATACATTTTCACAATCTCCCAGGGGCCATAGTCATGCGGGAGGAGGCTGGCAAAGAGGCTTCTCCACAACCCAGGGAAACAGTGCAATTTGCCATTTAAAGGGCCCGTTACAAATAGCAGTTTGTAACAAGGTGTCAATCCATATCTGCCAAGTGACCCGATGTAGGGGGAACAGTCCCTATTCTGCTCTGTGTCGGTGTGTATCAGGGGCTCTGAGGACAGGTGTCAATCCATATGTCAAGGTGTCAATATGTCATATGTCAGGTGTCAATCCATATTGATTGTGATTTAGGAATGTTAGGTGATTTCTGCCCTTTATGGATTAAAACCAGACTCTGTATCAACTGTGTAATTTTCCATGGGAGTTTTGCCATGGATCCCCCTCAGGCATGCCACAGTCCAGGTGTTAGTCCCCTTGAAACAACTTTTCCATCCCTATTGTGGCCAGAAAGAGTCCCTGTGTGTTTTAAAATTCGCCTCCCCATTGAAGTCAATGGCGTTTCGGGCGGTTCGCCAGTTCGCGAACATTTGCGGAAGTTCGCGTTCGCCGTTCGCGAACCGAAAATTTCGGGTTCGCGACATCACTACCTGCAAGTGGGAAATCAAAAATAAAGTTAAAAAATAAAGCAATCACCGTAAAAAAAATAATATATGTATATATCATATATATAATGTCATAATAAGTGTATTTTTATATTTATATATATGTATATAATACAAAAATACACTTTTAATTTAAATTACATTTTAATTAATATGCTAATAAAAATAAATAACAAAAAGTAAAAATAATTTTTAATAATTAAAAAAAATTATATATATATATATATATATATATATATATATATATATATATATATATATATATATATATATATATATATGTATATATGTAATTTTATTCTAACAGTATTTTGATATTAATATATATATATCAAAATACACTTAGAATGTAATGATATATATATTTATGTATAAATAAATAATACAAAATATACATATGTCCATATACATAATTACATAAATAATTTCATAAATATACACGTAGACGTCAAATATATAAATATGCATATATATTAAAATTCTACGTGTGCATTTATGTCATATTTTTACCTAATTAAGTAATTTTAATGATTGCAATTTGAGGGACCTGCCTGCCAACCCAGGCCGAAAGTCCAGAGAATTTAATTTGCTAGCACTGTGTTTAACCCTCCAACTTTCTATGACACCCTAAAACCTGTACATGGGGGGAACTGTTTTACTCAGGAGACTTCACTGAATACAAATATTAGTGTTTCAAAACAGTAAAACATATCACAGCGATGATATTGTCAGTGAAAGTGACGTTTTTTGCATTTTTCACACACAAACGGCACTTTCACTGAGGATATTATTGCTGTGATACATTTTACTGTTCTGATACACTAATATTTGTGTTCAGCGAAGTCTCCTGAGTATAACAGTACCCCACATGTAGAGGTTTTATAGTGTTTGTGAAAGTTACAGGGTCAAATATAAGGCTTGATTTTATTTTTTTTTATTATTGAAATTTGTCAGATTGGTTAGGTTGCCTTTGAGAGTTTATGGTAGCCCAGGAATGAGAATTAGCCCCATGATGGCATACCATTTGCAAAAGAAGACAACCCAAGGTATTGCAAAATGGGGTATGTTCAGCCTTTTTTACTAGCCACTTAGTCACAAACACTGGCCAAAGTTAGCATTTTTTGCATTTTTAACACACAAACAAATATAAATGCTAACTTTGGCCAGTGTTTGTGACTAGGTGGCTACTAAAAAAGACTGGACATACCCCATTTTGAATATGTACACGTAAGGTGTGATTCGGGGATTTATGACAGATAACGGTGTTACAATGTCACTATTGATAAATTTAAATTATATATATATTGAAACAGCAATTTCCTACTTGTATTTATAGGCCTATAACGTGCAAAAAAAAGCAAAAAAGCACATAAACACTGTGTGTTTTTAAACTCAGGATAAAATTTTTAATCTATTTAGCAGTTTTTTTCATTAACTTTTGTAGATAAGTAAAAGATTTTTCAAGTAAAAGTCCAAAAACATGTTTTTTTTTCAATTTTTCACCATATTGTATTATTTTTTTAAATAAAATATATAACATGATACAAATAATGGTATGTAAAGAAAGCCCTTCTTGTCCTGAAAAAAACAATATATAACTTGTATAGGAACCGTAAGTGAGAGAGAGGAAAATTACAGCTAAGCACAAACACCACAAAAGTGTAAAAACTGCTCTGGTCCTTAACGTACAACATCGCAAAAATAGGCTGGTCCTTAAGGGGTTATGGGGGTTGTAGGTGAACAATGGGAGATTACCATTGAAATATATATTTTGCAATAATATCATGTGTTTTTTTTTACTTTGTATTAAGATTTAACAAGTTATGACTGCAAGGTATTATATCATAATCCAGTTCAGACAAAGCAAAGTCAGAGAAAAAAATATATATATTCTTTGTATGTTCGATGTTGACTGCCAGGGGTAAAGGACAGATCTTCTAACAACGATTTGCCGGGAGCCAGGATGAAGGTTAAAGTGTGTATTCAAAATTTTGCTTTAAACCTCAATATATATCATTTTTTTTATAGACATAGGGAGTGACATGATATCTATAACTCCCCCTGCATCCCCATGCCCAGGTGAATAAAGGCATAAAAAACCTTTATCTAATTACCTGATCCCTGTGTGCTGGGATCCTCTGCCCCCTCCTGAGATGAGCTGGCACTAATGGTGCACATGCATTATACCTCCCCATTGGAAAGCATTGACTCAATAGGGGAGAGAACGAGGGGGAGGGAACGAGGGTTTTTTTTAAAAACACACCTGACGCTGACATCCTCATGAGTTGAAGTGGTCTGGGTGCCTACAGTGTCCCTTTACGTTTTATGAGAGACTGTACATAAAATTTGATATTTTGAATCCTAGATAGAACACAGAATAGTGTGGTAAAATATTGGCACTTTAAATTCCTTATTTCATATATAATTTAGCTGCTGGATGCACTCCATGGGCACTCCCAAAATCCCACCACAAATTTTAATCACCAAGAACACATAAAACTTGGAGTCTGGTTAGTGTCTCCACTTTCCAGGTTCCCAGTTAGAGTGCAGCGCTATATCAGTGTATTTAAAGTGTACATACAGCAGAAAGTTGGTACATATACACTTACCCCTTTAAGAATGTATTATTAGGGGGTATACATGAAATAAAAAAGAGACACACAGGACTAGTAGAATACTGTATGGTATAATTGAATTAATGTTGATATAGTGAGTGAGAAAACACTCACATTTGTTAGAGCCTTTTCTTTAGGTTTAGGCTCTAAGCTTCAGCATGTCTGTGTCTTTAAGGTAGACAGCAGTAACCCCTCTTGTGGCTCTGATTTATTTTCTGTTCATCTCCACAATATATACCAGCAAGAAAAACAGGAAATCTCTAGATGTAGTACATTTGATTGCAAAATGTGATCGCTTTAATAGAGCGATCACATGGCCCGCATAGCTGCCTGCAGATCTGCCTGCAGATCTGCCTGCAGGGGGACTGCCTGGTGAGAAAATGTTGCTAAAACATAAAATAAAATCCAAAAAGAAAGTAATTACATACATATTAAAAGGTTTCAACACAAATTC